CTTAATTCCATAATATAATATAAAGAGCAAATGTATAAAAGTGGACCTCTAAATTGGTCAACTTACTAACCCATATTGAAAGTCAAAAGCAGGATGACTTATCATTATTAAACCTGTTACACATACAGTAGTTTACATCACTGGAATTTCATGTTAAGAACCATTTTCAAAAACTAAGCTCAGATTCCTATCCACACTGTATATCCAGTATCAAGACCTAGGAATACATAAAAAAAGATGCAAAAAAAATAAAAATGGAGAAACTATTTACTATACGTACATACGTATACAATTACTTCTTCTTAAATAATACTTCAATGATATAGCTGTAATGAGGTGGGAATTTTGATTATCTGGTAAGCATAATTGAAACTTTTAAGTACTCATGCCTGGGTTGCTCATACATCCATAAACTTTATGATAACCCATCTACTTTTTTTAATTCCAAGTTGAAGGCTTTCAAGTCCTAAAGTTTTTTTACACAGATGATCTTAAAATATGGAGTGTGGGAGAAGGGTAGACAAGGTAGTCAAGTCCTTGAGATTGTTATATCTGCAGGGATAAAAGGTACATTCATATATATTCTTGGTTTGTTAATTGACCTCATGTGAATGAAGTAATAAAAACAACATGAGTTTATTCAAAATACAGTGTCTGAAACTTTAAGGTGATAGTAGCCACAATTTCACTGAAACAGGGGAAGAGTGGTTAAGAGTCCCATATGACATTTACTGGACCACCTTACACACACACAGAATATGAAGTCAACCTACACACACACCCTCAATCTTTCCTCATATTACAGTTGCATTTATGAGGACATGCTCTGTCTACCAGACCTAAATTATGTATGTAGTCTGTCCAGGGCAATACAGGAAAATTTTTCCCTAAATTCTTTCACTATTTATTTGTTGTGTGAAGCAAAATAATGTACTGTAATGCAAATTTTGGCTTCAATACTGTCAGATTCACAGGTATAATACCCACCTAAACTGATTAATTTATGTTGTACAAGCATTTAATTTATGCCATATTAAGTTATTAATGTAATTTTGATTGATTTTAATGTAATATTTTCTAGGCACTAAAAGATACAGTGTAGTTATTTCTGGCATAATGGAAGTAAATTAGTTTTGAAAATGGCCAATACAATTTTATAACAAAGAAGACAGTTTTACACATGTTTGAGTGTACATTAATGTGATGTTTGTCCAATAACAAGTGCAGATAAACTGTTACATAGATAGATGAGTAGAAATATGACATATCTGTCCAGAGTTTACACATGTTGAATGTACTCTGGGTTGAGATATGAGAAGCCAGAGAACTCAGTCTGGTCAAGGTTCATCATGAAGAGTTTATCAGTGGGAGTCAGTTCAGTACGCTCAGAGGTGAACTGCTTGTCAAAGTTGCTTACATCCTTACGATGACGCTGAAATATAAATTTATCATTAGTTCATCCCTCTTTATACTGACTCTGTCACATAAGTAAATAAGTTTGTTTTATACTGGGTATACACTTAGAAAATGCAGAATGACATGTGAATAATGTAATGCTCACTTATTACTTTATTGTAGCATTATATAAAAGATGGGACAGACCTACAATTAAAACCGTTGCAGTACAATATGTTATATTCTTACTGAGATGAAGTTGTTAGAAAATTGATGAGTTCATGACCTGAGCACTGCTGTAGCTGGGTAAGTTCAAGAATAATTCTAAACAAAAAGATTAAAGTATTAATGATAAAATAATAATAATAATGAAAATGTTTTTACTCCATCTTTATAAAAAAAAATGCTATAAAACACTGTAATGTCTAATGATTAACAAATTGGAAAGATATTACCAAATTCATGTCACAATATAAACCAATTTTGATGCATCATACCTCCTACATCGTGTTTAATTCTGTAAGTTATTTACCCAAAATTAATAAGTTGATATGACTCCACGTTTATGGATTATTGTTATCATGCATAAAGCCTTTCAAAAAAGTAAAAAATATACCCAGTAAGCATTATATACAGTACTGTACTTCAAGGAAAATGCAACTAAAGTTTCCTAAAAATATCTCAGTACTGTAATGTTACCAGTGCAACAGGCAGCACAAAAGTACTTACCGTTATTACTTTCTGGATCAAAATACATGACAGCCATCACTACCTGTTAAGGAACTGTTAGACCACAACTCTCTGGCTTACTAAAACGACAGACCAAAAACTACTGTCTCCAATCTTGGACATTCTTAAACATACTACAGTATAACCAATCCATAAGATTCTCACATTTATGAAGTGAACAATTTAAAAGAAAACAACACAGTTTAAAAGTTGCACAGTAGTACCACTACAAGTCCCAACTTAAAGAGACCTGTTTTGAAAGTTCAATATTATGCAACTATTCATGGCACAACAAATCATCTTGCACATAATTTTTTTTCTTCTAAAAAACAGTCTTTGTGATATACCAGAATACAACGTCTAGCTTTATACCTAGGTATGTAAATGTCTAGCATTAATTCGCCAGGCCAACATACAGGCAATTAAAACATCTAATAATTACTTAAATACGTAATATTAGGAGGACACGTCGCTACCTGGCATTTAATTGCAATTCTCAATAAAATAATATAAAAATGAATAAATAAATAATTTATTTGTATTCTGTTAATGCTATTACTTTATTTCTTAAAATTAAACACTTAATTTCAAAGGTATGGGACAAGGATGTACATTTAAGTACCTTGGATAATTTATATTTACGTTAGAACTTGTTCCAAGTTCTTCAAGTACATAAAGATATTTACTGTAATTTTAAGTGGGAAAAAAATAATGTAATATTTAAAGGCATCCAAAACTACATATTAATTACAGGATTATTCTTAATTTGCATTTCATTTATACAATTGAAATTAGAAATACAGCAATGTTCTTAAAGCAGAAAAGCTAAGGTGACACAATATGATTTTCATAGGTTGTATTTGAAGCATGGAAAAAATCTGAATATGAAAGATGGGTAACATGAGAAGGTAACCTTGGATAGATACCAGTAACAGGGATTTGAAAAAATGCCTGCAATGTCCTAATCAATTATATCAGAAATATATTTTACACACGAATCAATAACATATTATTCAGGTGCTTGCTGGAGGACTTTAGAAAAATCAGATTATTGTCACATGAAAATCTTACTTCTTGCATATTATCAAAACAACTTTTTTTTTGGAACCATCATGTAATATCTATAATTTAGGTCTACAACATTACCAGTCACCAAAATGCCCAAAATGGATCCAAATCCAAATCCAAATTATTTGCATGGTACAATCAATATTGCCATGAGTTAACGGTGTGGTAGTTTCCCCATGCCAGTGAAGACACACTCATGCCAGGGTGTCAGTACTCTGTGAACATTTCTTCTCCTGTGTATTGCAATCACAGATAATAAAAGGACTTTAGGAACTTCCTTTACTACCTGTCTCCCAATAATTTTCAAGAAATCCAAAAGAAATACACAGGAAAAGTATACACACAACAATTAAATGTAAAGAAAGCTGAAGCACTGAAGCAAAGTGAAGCTGCAAATACACCAAAGAAGTTACAGATAACCAGAGAAACCTTGTTTTTCTGGGAAATATGAGTACTTGTACTGTGCAGTACTATATTGTAAGTACACAATATACAGTACAGTATTATATTTATCAGGACCATCAACTGTGGTTATTAATTAATGTATTACAACATTTATTACTGTATTGATACTATCTTTTCATTAACAATTACAATATCTTCTGTGTATAATTATTAGCAGTAGAATATTATTCTAAATCTGATGTTAGGTATGTCCCTTTCATCCTGACTAAGTGGAAAATTAAAAGAACAAATATATATTTGTAAATAAATAGATACAGAAGACACAAAGAGAAGCAGAAGAATTGATACACAGGTGTGGCATTGCAACTAAACCCTTAAAGAAATACACCCTGTAAGTTCTTATGCAATAGTTTGATGGAGTATTTTTAAGCATTATCTATGGACTAGGAAAAAAATTTAGTGCTTTATTCCTACCAATTAAGACTGAGATTTCATTAGCCACAATGATATGTGAAACAAAATTTGCTTGTTGTGACATTTTTCTTGTGCATGCGAGTTCTTTGAGACTATTCATTCTTGAGATGCCTTTCAGAAAAATTTACTGTAAATTTCTTTGAAGATGTACAACCTGGGAAATAAAAACAAAACCCTGGAACCACAAGATTCAGTTGACTGGACTTCTTGGGTTAAATGAAATAATCTACAGGAATAAAAGCCCATGAACTGTTTTGGACTGATAAAACTCATTTGCTTTTTGAAAATCATTTCCTCTACATGTAAGTTTGTTATGCATGGCGACATCAACACATTGCATTCCACCCTACCACCAATTCATTACCTTTTCACTGACTGAACTGTACTGTACTGTACTGTACTGTACTGTACTGTACTGATATCTGTACTGTTGTGTAAATCATTACATACTCTATTTGCTTTTTATTTCTCTTAATACAGTATTGTATCTTAGTCCGTTACTGTCATTACACTGTATTTGGTTTACACATATTATTACCAAAACAAATTCAGAATAAAAAAAAATGACTCAAAGAATGGTGGACTTAACTCTTTAAACTGTACATCATAAAGATTATTTGCAGTGTTTTATTGCAATTTCTACCGTAAGTTGCTAGTGGGTTTAGCTGAAAACAAAAACAAAACTTCTTTTCCTATCATAACTGTTAATAAATTTGGCAAAGCTCATATAAGAGCCTTTTTATCTGAATTTACACCTTCTTACCTGAAGCCTCAACAATTTTTAAAATGTATTCTATGAATACAAGGTACAGTATACAGTAATCCAATATTGTACTGTACTGTACTGTACTGTACATCATCAGCAATCTTAGTACAGTACAGTATTTATGTTAAAGTCTACATGAGGTAATATAATCAAAGTTCTCAAAAAATGTTTTTGTTTTATTTTCTTATAATCTGAAAGATTGACACAACTGGGGCATTAGAGGATAAAACTGACAGTCAAACCAGTTAAATCACAAATAAGAGTCATGAAAATAAGTAATTTTTTGTGAGGAATGACTAAATCGGAACACTATGAAAACCTGTTTTCGGTGGTGTTAATTAGTTGTAATGCAGCTTTCCTCTATTCTACATATTTCCTACATAACAAACTTCTTTGTGATTTAACTGTTGCATATTGGAGGTATTGGGGCAAGAGAGACCAAACTAACTAATATTTTAAATAATGTTTGTAATTGCCTGTTGCTTGTATGCAAGACAGGATCCATAACACCTTCAAGCATGCTACCATGTCCCAAAACCTTCATATGCATAACATTAGTCTTAATTGGTTAGATTTATAAAAATAACACTGAGACAATAAAATTACAATAATATATATGTAATATTTGTGAAGGGGGCCAACAATTTTATCTGAAATTTGAAATCAATTGAATATTTTCTTATCATAAACAGAAAGAAAAGCAAGTTGCTGATTACCACTTAAAACAATTACTTTCAACTATTTTGAGAGTGATAATGTTTATGGGCATTCAAGATGCCATCCAAGGAGACTGGTTCATACTATGTTATATTCATGTATTGTATTCCTTAAGTGTCATGGTTTGTGCACAATTTTTTATGTGGCACCATAACTTAACCTGTTTTTCTTTGTGAAACTTTCTATTTACATTCTGGCATATTATTCTTTTGTACAGTAGTTCCTTTAAAATCTGATTACCGGAATATATACTTTTTAAAATATCTTTCTATACAAAAGATAAGCTCCTCTTAAATTCATCATTGTCTCAACTCTTGTAATATTTGATACTGTAATTATATGACAAAGTCAGGGAGTTGTACCATAAAATAAAAACAATGAAGGAACAATTATATAATCAGTAAAAGGTCACAGCTATTAAAATAAATAAAAAAGGTATTACAAGTTCAAACCCAATTCTTAAGTGTCACCTAAGATCACCAAAACCTAAGTCTCCCCCAATACTACTAAACTGGGAATGGAAATAAACATCCGCATACATTAAATTTAGTGTTAAAGCATTTATTATCATTTGGGAATTTGTCTGGTGCCTGTTAACTGGCTAAGAGTACTCAAGTGATACACTTGAACAAACAGCAAGTGCCAAGAACAGTCAAACTGATCAGGGATGTTTCTACAAAAACCTTCATAACTTGTTAACTGTTGAGCTTTGGTCCTGTCCTAGACAACAATTGCCTTATGTACTTTACACTGAGGAAATTATTTTAGTCTTTTATATGATCTAAACAATTAACATCGATATGTACTCTTAAATCCAGGTATATGTTAAGAGACTGTAAGCAATAATGTAGACTTCCACAAATTCTAGTGCTTAATGAAACTGTGGTAGAAGATTAGAAATTTACAGCAACACTCCACCAAAATTATGCTTCATATAGGAAATATCTCATGGGACGCTTTGACTGTTCAAATCTGCTTGACACAAATCATGCAAAGTTTGTAATAGCCTACATATGTTAACAGAAAGACTTGATGAACTTACTACAACAACACATAACCTAGGTGACTCAGCTAATGATTTGAATAATTCATGTGTACTATAAATTTTCCAGTGTCACAGTTAATATCCTCATAAAATCTAAACATCAATGTTGCACAACTAATGATTCCATGTAAAAATTATGGTCTTTAGCTAGACACTTTGGGAAAGCATATGAGGTTATGACTAAAGGTTACTCAATACAAGATCTAACATGTATATGCTGTACTTTCCTCCAACTCTTAAGTGTGTTTTGGTGTGGGAGTTAAACCTTCAAGGTGCCACATACTGTGGACAACTGGGGAAATTCTACCACAGGCCAAATTATCAAAACATTTTCAGCCATTAATATCATCTATCAGTAATTTATATGCATAATATAAGGAAATCCTTCAAAAACTTTAAGAACACATAACCAGCACTTCAAGTGGAAGTGATTATAAGGATTTGTTTTTATTATAAACTTGTTGGTAGGGTACTGTACTGTACTCTCTATGTTAATGTACTGTATACACCAATAAAAATAAAATTCGCACACTTAGACATTGCCTTTCCACTTCGGTTTGGAATGACAGGCCATCCAACTATATACACAGAGTTAACATCAAGAAGTTATAAGATATGCACATAAACTGTTATGGCTAGTAAAGAAGTGAAATATGCGAGAATGGAACAATTCACAAAAGCTTGGCAATCACAGATGACAGAAAGACTGTGAACATCACACCATACCTGGCGAGAGGGACAATACGTCAATATATTGACTGATTTAATATTATAATATAAGTACAGTACAAGGTTCAGATAAAGGGCCAGCTCCTCCATGTCACACAAGGCTGAGAAAATATTGTCAGCCAATCATTTGTGCTGGTTAACAAGTGTCTTGTCCAGAACAAAGCTAAAATCACCTGACACTTGAAAGTATAAATATACTAATCATTTTATATAATACAGTTGCACTAACCTAAAGTGAATCTGTGTATTTTCATTATGATTTCTTCTTATCAGTGTTGTAACAATTTTCAGTAGCACTCATCAGCAATACTCATCAACAAGTTGTGAGTAGGATATATAAATGTATGGGGGTGAGAAATGTATGCTTAGAGAAGCCTTAATGTACTGTAGGTACGATTTTAAAAACCTGTTTACACGAGAAATATTTTTCTTCAATGAATAATAAGTAACTACATTCCAGGATAGCAAACTTTAGCTGCTTATAATAATACCTGTTGTAATGAACACCTAACATAATACACATAATAATCATGATTATAGTTACCAACAGCAATATGTCTATGTAAATGAATCACTTAAGTAGTATTGTGCTCAGTGTTGGTCACTCATGGTGCACTGCTGTGGGATAAAAAGAGTACTTCATCTTCTATCCAGCACATAGTTATTCCTTTGCCAGGTCATGGTGCAGACCTCAGATGGGCAGCATCTTCTGGAACTCCCACAATATCCATCAAAGTCTAACATCTTTAATTTCTACATTTCTTTTTATCGGTTTTTCTTAATTTTTCTTGTCTCCCTAATACATGCTAAGATCCTCCTCATTCTGTTCACTGGAGGAAGTCGATGACTGTTTAATATTCCAGATTCAATCTAACATGTACAGTTCATCAGCAACTGTAATGAGTATTGCTGTTAAGGCATTAACATTCTGACAATGTAATGCTCAAGAACAGGCTACTGTACGTGTATCCCCAAGCTTGAGACCTGGGAAAGTGACTTTGATGTAGAATATCAGACTAAGTGATTCTTTGCAGAAGTGGGAATGTTTAAGTATTACATGAAAGCAAAACACCTGAACACAGGTACCTCCTAAACAGCCTACTAGTCGTAGTCCTGCAAGATCATGAATATAGCTCAACTAACCGATAAAAAGTGTTTTCCTATTTTTGGGGGATCTTTTCCAAAATTTCAACTTGATATTTGTCGCAAAGGAATGACACACTTCGTGCCTAGCAGTATCATGGGTAATAGTATAAAATTTTCTAGGATACTGCAAATCAATACAGTACTGCTTTACTACATCTGGTTTGGTATCTAAAATAAAGTTATTACATCTACTGTTTAGTGTTTAACTGGTATAACCCATAAGGGAGTTTTATACTTCAGGTCAGTTTGAGAAAATTAAAACAAATCTATTATTAGTTTCAAGTAGGGATAAACAGACAGTCTTGGTGCTATGTTATATTCTGCAGTGAATACTGTGCATGTCCATAACAATCTGAACACTTAACTGATTTTGGGGAATTGGGAGGCCTGTGTCAGCTGTAAACCTTTGCTAAACCCTAGAATATTTTGATCTGATGTTTATACCTGGGCTCAATATAGTCACGTGGACAGTGGTAATATAAGAATGTATCAAAATATACCAGAGTTTGGTGGACACTTAAAGAGTTACTCAGACCTCCCAACAGTCAGGGACATGACAACTTCTACAACAAAGCTGACAAAACTTTTACAGATGGGGATGGTTAAATGATTAACAAGAGGATTTAAGCTTCAATGTTCTCCTAAAAATATATGTATATAAACTTTTCACCATAATCATACTGCTACCTGTTTTATCAACTTTTAAATTAATATCAACAATGTTTATCAAAAGCTGAAGGATAACTCACACTACTTATAATAAAAAAAAAGAATTAAAAAATACTACAAAATAAAGATGATTCCTGATACTTGTGCTTCAATTAGAAAAATAAATAAAACACATGATGGACTTACTTCTGAGACTTTCTCACTCAAACAAATTGCACAAAAGGTTATTGTGCACCACCTTAATAATAGTGTCTATCAACAAGTGTGGAATGTTACATCTCCAATGCTGGCTCCTCTCACTCCTCATGGAGAGAGTCCTACCCTCATAATACAGAAGCTGCTATATCACTACTACTGAGGTTGCTCTACTACCACTGTGTAGACAGTGCTGCTACCACTCTAGAGGATGCTAACCCACCACTGTCAAGTGATACACCACTGTGTAGTAATAATATACTGCAGTGGATACTTCACCATCCAGGACAGAGGGTGCATCACAACCTGTGAAGAGGGTGCTACACTACTGTACCACTGTAGAGAATCCTATACCACTGTAGAGGGTGTTGCAATACCAATGTAGAGAATGCTACATCACCACTGCATGGAGTGCCAACTACATTACTATATTATATGCAGTTTTTTTTAAATGCTTTAAATCACAGGATCTTTTGGAAACATTGTAAAAGGATAACATCTATACATACTGTAATTTTTAAGGAGTTAAGACACTTATTTCTAACAGTTATCATATAGGAAGATCAATGCGATAGTCTTGTCAACACATGAGATAACATTTAACCATATACATGATTTGTGTAATGCTTTTGTCTAAATGTAGTTCTGAACAATAATTGCTTTGCAATAATTAATTCATGACCAAATACGACTAACCACAGATGTTGTCCTAACCTGATCAATGATTCTACAATTAAAGTCAATACTACATACACCACATAAAAATCTATGAAGTTCAACATTAGACTAAATGAAGTCTTTTCTGTGATTACATGCACACTTATATTTAGAGTGAAAGTCAAAAAACATCACAACAGGGCTTCATTATACTTCACCAACAATATTTTTACCACAACATATCCTCTAAAACCTACCACTCTGGTGTCCTCACTACAAGATTGGCTACTTAATTTTCTAATGACAAAACAACAAATACTCTAGTATTATTGGCATATCTGCCATAACCACCCTTCACAGATTATATAGTTTCAACAATACTGCTTGCATACCTCTCAAAACAGGATTATACAGTGATAGAAGGAGAGACACACAAACCTCCAACACGTAAATTTTGGGCATGTGACCCTAATCACATAATTCTAGGCTTGTAACTTTGGGCAAACAAAATCCCACAAGTGCAAGCCTAAGGAGCAGCTGAATTAGAAAAATGGAAGGTAGTCATTAATTCTATGCCACTAGTTACTTCTGTACCAAATGCCTTATTAAAATTTATTTCTGTGACAAGAACTAACAAATACTCAAAATTTAACAACATACTGAAGCTAATATTATCAGAGAACCTACAGCCAGTCCAAATCCAACAACTGGTTGACAACTAACAACTGGTCAAAGAATAACAACCAGTTAGGAACTAACAATCAGCTCAAGAGACCAATGAGCATAGAAGAAACGGCTGGTAGAGAACTAACAATTACAAACCACTACTGCTGAATTTAGATGAAAATTGTGCATGAAATAGTAGTACTGTATTAATAAACTACCTGGGGTCCCCCAAGGAAAAACAATCTACACATTTGATCACACTGATGGGGTTCTGCACACCAAGGCCTGTTGAGTGGGCCATACCAGATGGGCCATGTTGAGTGGGCCATGCTAACTGGGCCATATTGAATGGGCCACACTAACTGGGCCATGTACATGGACTGCATTAATCTATGGTCAAGATGAGTGGACCACAACAACTGGGTTATGTTGAGTGGGATGTAATGAATAAGCCATACTGAGTGGGTTCCAGGGACATGCTGAGTGGGCCAAACGAAATGGGCCATTTACAGTGGGGCATACCAAATGGACCATGTTGAGTGGGTCACACTACCTGGGCCATTCTGAATGGGTCACACTATCCGGACCAAATCATGTGGGCCACAGTGATTGGGGCCTTGTAAATGACGGCATGGTGGTCATCATCCACACCAGTAGTACAGTACTTAAACAATGGATGAAATCTATTAAGCATATAACATACTTAATCCTACAAGACAATCTAACCAAACTATGAGGGAAGACTTGGGTATAAGAGGATTAAAATCAGTTTTCAGTTTGTTAATGTTCACTGAGAAATGCACGTCAAACATATGCAGATGGCAAGGAAGATGGTGCAGTCAAGGTTCAGCCATGGATGGCCAGCAGCTGACATCCACGGGTGACATAGGGCTCTGATCAACAAATCTAAACCCTAAATGCAAGGATAAATAATTATGAAAAATTGAATGGGGTAAGAGCAGCCACTTATGACCCTAAAATTACCCCAACACAACAAAATCTAATGACCATTTTACAGTCTACTGAAGTTTTCTTATCCCTGACGGTGTTGCAGAAAAATGTTACTTCCAAGGATTGGCTTAATGTAGAGTGTAGGATGCCTATACCAACTTAATGTCTAAAGATGCAATTCAAATATCTCTATAAAGTCTACATTAGGAAAATGCATCAGTAAACAGGAGGCAATAACTATATTTTCCAGAACTGTGACATTATTACCTCTAGCCTTTGCTTACTTGACAACTCCAAAAGGAAGATATATGACTCATATCCGCATGTAATGGTTATCAAATAATCAAGTCTTTCATTTGGCCGATCAGGCACAGGTGGATGGCAGACATGATGATTATCTAGGTGGTAAGTTTGGCAGGTGAGCCAGATGTTGCTCTGCTGGACTTGAGGGTGTTTGTGGAGGATCTGGTGGTCATATTCACTTTCTGACATCAAATCAATGGCTTCAGGGTATTGGCAAGATGAAAGACAAGTGTGGCGTTATTTAGTCCTCATCAGGGAGGAGAATCTCATCGAGCACGGGTTGATAGAATGGATTGGTGTAGGTGAATGCATGGAAAGCATCAGGGTCCAAGTGTTCCATGATCTTTTTATCTGCAGGGGAGAACTCCAGCCGGGCATTGCGGAACACAGGATCAAAGTTCTCGCCAAGGCGTGGATTGGTCTGTGGAGAGACCAGGTCATGATCGGTCATGCCAGGTCACTCAAAGTATTGCAAACATCAGCTGGAAATCTTTAATTTATGTTTTTGTGAAAACTCCACAATTTGCTGCCCTTAGTACATCCACATTCTCTAGTCCTTAAAACTTATCAAAGTTGGTTATTCTGTATGTACTGATTTGACAGGAGCCGAAAATTTGATACAGTATTAGTGTCTTTATCATATATACTGTAATTCACATTTCATCTCTAATGACAACTATAAGAATATCCCTGCCACAAATTTTGACCATTTCCATTACCTAGAAACCCTCCCATCCTTAAGTTTTTTTGAATCTACCAAATTCTACATTGCCATCTTAAGAAATGTTCCGATGCTTTATGAATCCTCACATGTTCTAAGGAAGACCTCCATCACATACCTCAGTCTAAGAATATCACACCAATTTCAGGAACATCTTTATCCCATACAAACACCTACACATTCTTATCTCAGCCTACTTCTTCTTGAAAGGCATTTTTCACTGCCTGAGAACCCTTACAGTATACTGTACAGTATAACACATGCCTCTAGGAATACTTTAGTTTCACATGAACCCTTCCACCTTTTTTTTTGTGGGGTGGGGGGGGGGGGATATTTCTATCACATACAAACTAGTCTTTATGATACTCTTACAGTAGTCTAAGCAATATTTCTATAACACAATAAACTTTGTTACCATGTTTGGATATAAGTTATGGCTCTATGTTGTAAAAACCTTCACATCTATGAATGAGAGTATTTGTTCCATACTCAACATCATTTCATGTTCACAAGATTTTTTTTCATGCTTATTTAAAATCCTTCTCCTGTCTCACAAGAGACCTCACATCCTATCTTTGGAACTGTTCTGTTGTACTCAAATCATCGACCTTCTATGAAGAAGTTTTGATTCAAGAAAATATGAACATCTCTACAGGTACTTAGATACATCCTAATCTCATACGGACTCCTTGGTTCCATTTTAGGGACATTCCCAAATCATAAGGAACTTTGACAGTTTGCATAGGAAAGAGAGCATGCCAACCTAACATCACTCAGCAGTAACCTGTCCATTACTATTTTTATATTAAATAGTTTGGATGACTGAGATTTATTCAGTCCTCTAAAATGAGCTAAAATACAGTGGCAAGATCAGCTGAAGGCAGCAACCAGTGGTCATCAACACGAACTGTACAATTTTTTCAATAGTTTCTACGAAAATATCCAGCTGATGTTAGCTTGATTTGTGACCCGGCTATATAGGACACATGGAGGAGGGAGATGAAATGGGAATGACTGAATAATTATGATGCTTAGTGTATGATAACTGATGGGTAATGTTCCATCTATATTGTAGTGATGATGATTAAGTGCAATGTATTGACTGTGTTGATACCGTGAAAAAATGGTAGAAAGGGAAGATGAGGATGAAATGACAAGGGTGACTGAGTGTGATAATACAGAGTATAGTTAGCTGACTGGGAGGATGATGATCAACACATCGGGGTGTTAGAGGGAAAAATAAAGGAACTTTACACAATGGGAAATATAAATGACATGCTGAGTAGGATAACAACAGTGATACCTGGGTGATATTGGGTGCAAGAATGTGAACTTGGAAGAGGATAAATATGTTGAAAAAGATGTGAATGTTTCAGATACTGAAGAGGAAAAATAACTGATGCAGGAAACTGGATGACTACTGTGATCAAGAAGATGATGATGACAGATACTGTACAAGCAAGATGGTCAAAAGTTAGAGGTTGAATGAGATGGTGAAGAAAATTGACATAAATAGATGAAAAAGATGTATGTGGACAGCAGAACCAACAGACTGGAATGACCACTCAATCGGGAAGCAAGTATGAGGGAAGACTAGTAGTGTGATGGATTAAGATTGACTGAAGAAGTTGAAAAGAATATGGCTTGATGGAGTGAAACAGCTTACCTTACATGAGTCACTATTGTTTATTATACAGGTACTGTATTCATCTTTATTTACATTTTGAGATCAAAGATCAGTCAAGTAAGTCTTCAAAGACAATATTGAGACAGTACAGTGTACAGTAACGGGAAAGTGGAGAAAATGGCTTGGAAAATATGATAGGTAAATACAATAGTGAAGTAGGAAGGATGAGTACCTAAGACTGAAGATAAATAAATGAGGAGCACTATGAAGTGGATTAATAAAAAAGATGGGGATGGATGGATGGATGGATGAATGAGGCTGTGTAATAAAAGAAAATAGATGAGTGAAGGAGACAGAGAATTGTATGAATGAAACTACACAGTGGGACAGATACATGATACAGAGCAGGTTGAATTAATGGGGTAGTGATCCATAAAAGGCAGTAATAAAGATAAAGGATATTTTTTTATGTGATTGGCTACTGGGACAGAAGCTCAGGATAGATGATGGGAATGAAGTGAGATGAGTGAATGGTGCAGCTGAAAGGATGGTCACAGGAAAGTATGGTTACAGGAAAGGATGGTGATGTGGGGATGTAGAGAGAAAGATCAGAGGAGAGGGGTGGAACAGGAAGTGAAGTGGTCCAGTGAAGGCATAGTCGGCAGAGTAGGATAACAGAGAGGGAAGGTTAGACGATGTGGAATTTGTCAAGACTGAAGCGGCATGGAAGAAAAAGGGATTGAGAAAATGGTCAAAGGAAAAGAATACGAGGTAGAAAAGTTAGTAAATGGAATGAAAAAAAGATGGTTATTAGAGTGAGACCATTAGAGTGAGATATAGAGTGGGGAAGTTAGTGGAATAGGATAAATAATGGGGTGGGATGGGAGAAAAAATAGCTAATGGAGTACAGTAATGGAATTAAATGTTGCTGGATTGGGATGGATTGGGGGGAAGAATGGGTCGGAAGAAGGGGAGGGTTCACGAAAAGAGAAGAGGATGAATGAGAAATGGCCACTGCCAAAAAGGATGGGCCATGGGCTTCAGTAGCAAGGATGACGGAAAGAGTGGAATGGAAAAGGAGGAATCACATGAGGTTAGGTCAGATTAGATTAGGTTAGGTTTGGCCATAATTAATATTCTCTCCAGGATTTAATGTTATGGTGAAGACAAAATCAGGAAATTAAAAAACAAAACCTAAATAAAACACTGTACTGTACTATCATATGATAACTGAAGAAAAATTATAAATGATGGAAAATCAGTCTTGTGATGGAGGAGGTACAAGGTGTGTGACTGTTGATGGTGGAGGTACAAGGTGTGTGACTGTTGATGGTGGAGGTACAAGGTGTGTGACTGTTGATGGTGGAGGTACAAGTTTGCATTAATAAGAAAACATGTAAAGAGGGATGCATTAATTTTAGCTAGTCCACAAAATAATAATAATAAATAGGATGAGGAATATGGAAATGTATTTGGTAAGTGATCATTGACAGTGGGAATCAGGTTTATGATTAGATATGGGATGTTTTGTGCTACTATTGATGGAAATGGTACATGGAGATGAAAATATTTAGAAGAACTTAATATTGGTATGTCTATGCAAATGATCTGGGCATATGAGCGATGATATGTTTGTGATTATCTGAAAATTATATCCTGCTGGGGAAGGGAGATCTGAAAAGCACATGTTGACTTCCATGATAAAGTCAATAAACATGATCAGTACTTCTATTCCTAAAATACAAGGGGAAAATAAATGTTACTATAAACATATATATATATATATATATATATATATATATATATATATATATATATATATATATATATATATATATATATATATATATATATATATATATATATATATATATTTCCTAAAATATATCATTTTCATTAACATGACATGAAGATGAAGAGTTAAGGTAGTGAGAATGATAGATGAAGTGTGAAGGCAAATACTTTGGAAAAACAACTGCAGTGTCAAATTGGAAAAGTCCACCACAAGACACCAACACCACACAAGGAAGAAACACCAGAAGTCAAGGCAGGAGAGGGGTGAAAAATGGCCAAGTTTACACTGGAGTCACTGAACATCACTACCAAGTCTGCAAAAGTAACCTAAGCCAAGAAGGACCACACACTTAAGAGCACTGATCACAGGGAGTACAATGCTCACACAGTACGCTCATCAGCACTGTGGACACGGAGGAATGGGGGTATTTATATTCTGAGAAGAACAAACTCAAGAAATATAGAATAAGGACAATTACAGTGACAAAACATCATCAAACACTGAATAACACAGCAATGATTATTAAAAACATTTGCCATGAAAAGACGGAGGGTGGGACGCACTTATTTAAGGGGTACTGAGAGGGATGGTGGAGGGCTGCAGAACACCATATACCAGGGTAATCACCATACAACACATAGTGGTGATGGTGAAGGTGGTAGTGATAATTAGTAACACCTCACCGAGAAGTTGGTAAGAAAATTGTTTGTGGTAAAGATTAAGCAACAAGTTGGGATTATTAGTCATAGCTACACGTAATCCAAAGAAAAGTTAGTGGCTGGTGTAAATTGCACAAACAATGCAGTTTATGAGGCAGAAGTTAGTCATATTATCCAATATAATACATGCATAACACTTTATCACACTGCACACTGAACAAGAAACTGAATATATAGTTACATTCCCAAACAATTCAGACAACCACTAGACACTAGCCATCACATGTGGGTTAAATCAATAATCTATGAATGACCCAACTGGATTTCTTCCTTAAGAATGAATGCAGCACAATCAACCAATATATTGTTCCAGCCTTCCAAGTACAGTCACCAATTAATATATAGTTTATCTTGTACACAATTTTATCTCAGCACCCAGAATTAATAGAACTCTTCAAGAATCTTCTATTCATCATAGTGTTGTTATCTAGGTATACCATAAAGTGTGTGATTCTACTTTATCAAAAACAAAAGAGTTTCAAAGTTTCAAACCTCTAAGTTAACTTTGTTAGGTTTTACACAGTGCACTCAGTTTACTTGAAAAGGGATCCCATTTCAT